AATTGTGTGCGCCATGCGATCACCCCGAGCTCTTCCCTCCGCTACCGGAAGTACCTGAAACCAAAACTGAAAACCGTAAACATAAAGCTTAGTGAGTTCCCCAACCTACCACATACCCTACAAAAACACATACAACATATACTGGGCCACGCCCACTATTTCGGGCCTCGCTCGCTACAACGACCCCGCCGCTCCAGTCCTTGCCTGGCTTCGAGCCCCACTCAGATACATATCTGTTTCACTTAGGCGTTGCCTATCACTGTGCCTCGCCCCACTACATATAATGGTACATAAACATATCACAACACATAAGCTAAACATATACTAATGGATCCTGTCCTAAGGCCTCGCCTATCTTGGGCCTCACCCTTGACCTGCTACTAATGAGTCATGGAACCCCATCCACGCTCCTACTGATAGTGAGATATGGGCCCAGCCCACACTCACTCTTTCCCTAACTTGGGCCTCACCCCTCTTCTGCTGCTAATGAGATGTGGAACACCGTCCACACTCTGCTATTGGTGAGATACTGGACCTCACCCACACTCACCTCCCTACTAGGCACATACAAGTATCACACATACAACAAGTATACTCTATCATGCAAACCATTCCTTGGGTACCCGCCCGCTATCAATGGACCTTGGTCCTAAATATCATACTGGCATAAAGTGCCTAGAGCTAACCCCTGGGTCTTCCTACTCATACCTACATGGGCCAACATTGTGGCCTTAGACCCATTCACACAAAGGGAAACTCACATGGTACTGCTGAACTTGCTGGTAATCCCTTTGGCTGCTGTCTGACAACTCTCTCTGAACCGCTGCTCCACTAGCTCCTCGAGCTACCAATATCAATATAGCACTTAGTCTAACTGTCCTCCGAAGCCAACTAAGTCCACTCTGGTTAAAGTCAAAGTCCTGGTCAAAGTCAAAGTCCTGATCAAAATTAACCTTCCAGATCAACCCTACTCGCCGAGTTTGCCTACTGACTCGCCGAGTTCATACGCTCAGAATCCTTTCATTCGCGACTCGACTCGCCAAGTCAGCCCCTGACTCGCCGAGTCTACCGATTTCCGAGTCCTAACCTGTCCAACTCATTGAGTCCCCACTCAACTCACTGATCCGAGTCTTAACTTGAAGGGTTTGTGGTTTTGTGACTTGACTCGCTAAGTCCAAGAACAGACTCGCCGAGTCCAAGGCAATCTTCAACAGACTCGCCGAGTTGTTCATCCAACTCGTCGAGTTCATTTCCATCTTCATACTACTCGTCGAGTCCACTCGAAGGACTCGCTGAGTCTATTCAGTCCTTCAAACATTCAGAGGCTTTTGAGTCATGCATGGACTCCAAACTGTAGATCCGCTCTTCTAAAGCCTATTCCTCATGTAAAGGGGCAAACTTTACGTGTAGCTAAGGAGATCTAGGATCAAAACACTATAAACTAGGGTTTAAGAGAAGGAGGATTTACAATTAACCCATATACTGATGCTTTATGATTCTCTAGGCCAAGATACACTTAGATCTGAAGTAGCAACTTCAGATCTGGGCTTCTAACTCGAAATGGTTCTTAAACTTGCCCTTAAAGCCCCAAATCTCATGTTAAAGGTTGATCTATATGAAAAAGAGTGAAGGTAGTGATTCATTACCTTCAAATGCTCTGAAAAATCCCACAAACTCTGGATCTACTACCACTCCTTGAATCCCTAATGGTTCCCTTCTACCTTCTTCCTTCAAATCACCCAAAATGGCAAGAAAGCTTGAATGTGCAACAATAGAGGCTTAGGGTTTCGTATTCTGGATAAGAGAGCTACAAGGAACCCTAAGGGAGAGAATGAGATGCTTAAATAGTGCACAAAGTCCTGGATTTAGGGTTCCCCTCTTCAGACCGGACTCGCCGAGTCCTCTTTTCCGACTCGCCGAGTTGGTTACTTAATCGATCCCCTGGATACCGCTCCGACTCGTCGAGTTCCTCCATGGACTCAATGAGTTGACCCTTTAACTTAGAGTTTTCTTTCCTTTCTTGTCCTTTTCTGATTTTGAGTGTTACACCATAAGTGGAATCTGAGATGGAATTAAGGTTTTATTCAGTTCAATTGATGATTGAGGTGTGGTGGGGTGTGAGTCTTCATTGAATCCGTCAACAAAAATGTTTGAAATTCTTCTTCTTTTGTCTTGTTACCCTTCGAAATTAACCCCTGTGTGACATCTTTGATTTTCTCCTGACTCTGAATTGTTTGTAAACAGCCTAAGTCCACTGGACCTATCTAATTTTTTCAAAGGTCCATTAAGCCATTCATCTTGCCCCACATTCATTTTTGACCAACATTGAGTCTGGTTATCCAGCTGTTCCCCATGCACAATAATATCTTTGACTGACCTTTGGTGTTCCCCAGGCAAGGCATTCCCAGTTACTCGATCGTTTTCACCTGTCGCATCCTCCACCGGTGCTGAATTCACCTCTGGCGACCGGACATTACCTCTAACATCCACCTGCATGTTATCAATGTACGAGTCTTTAACAAATTCAGTATCAGTATGACCAATCTCCCCTTCCCCCAGGTCTTCATTGATATTCTTAGATGGAATGGTATCCACCATGTATCCATCCACACCCTCTCCGTCATTGTCGTCATATCCATCCTCCGATGAAGAGCTCACTTCCGTAGAGTAGTATCTTTGTTTGAATGGAGCCCAATCTAGATCTACTTCTACGTTTTGTAGTTTGATGATTCTACCATTGACTTCCACCACAGGTTCACTGGATATTGTGGATACCAAGGGTGTTAGGATACCGACCTTTCCATATGATAGATTAATAGTTGATTGATCAACCACACAACGGACCACAACCCTACCAACAAATTCCGCAATCATCGAGAAGTTTTCTTTAGAACATACTTCTGGTGGGAGACCAAGGATTTTTATCCATGCGATTCTCTCAGAATATGTAATTGCAACATCACCACTACCTACTTTAGTAAACCAATCAGTCCAGGTGTTCGTAAAAACTTTCCTATTGTCTTTGTTCACAAACTTCACACCGATGTATATATCACCAAGGTATTTTATTTCACAATAAGATCCGTCACAGTTCTTGAAAGAATAAGGGGCATTTTCAAGACGATCAAAACTGTGAAGTTTTCCAATCAGCGTGAGTTTTCCTTTTAGCCATGAATGCAGAGGGGAGTCATCAAGAATCATAATAAGATTAACTTTCCATTGAGGAGGGGAGGTGGAAGGGGGGGGGGGGGGGCTCTATTTTTTTCTTTCATGACCTCAACAAAGGATCTGTTGTCTCTCTTGTTGAATCTTGGAGCATGAGGAAATCTATTATGATTCATGATGAAGTCGTTATGTCTTACATATTGAACAACATCAGGTTTTCTTTGGAACCTTACAATATTGACTTCTAGGATTCTTCCACCAAGTTTGATTCCATGTAGGTTCTTCTCTAATATATGTTCATCTCTAGTCTTCTTGAATCTAACGAAAGCAAAGTGTTTTTTTTATTGACATCTCTCTTTGTTGCCATGTAAACATCGACCACCTCTCCCTGTTTAGCAAAGATGTTAATTAGATTTTATTTCCTTACCGCATCCGGAAGGTTTGTCACAAACATAGACATAAGCCCTGAATGATTCCATCGTGGTCGATCTCTGATCTTCGTGATCTGATTCCATCTTCGCCGTATCGCATCCATCCCTTCACCTTCCATGGCAAAGTGTTGAACTGTTATGTTTTCTTATAAACATGTAACAACATATACAAACTCAAAGAAACCAAATAATCCACATATAACAGCATTTATAAATGATTCAAAAACACTCGAGAAATGTTTACATAAAAAATAAATAAATATTTTCAATTTATTTAAAATAAATACATTAACAACCAAATTTAAATTACTTTAAATTTATATTACAAGTATAACAATCTAATACATATGGATATTGAAAAAATAAAGTAATTATCCTGCATAACCTACAATTTATAGATTTTGGGAAATGATCATGAAGTCTGGAACATTGCAATGTGGACTATGTAGTTCACATTTTAATGTTTTGGGAGGATATAAACTGGTCTGGAATATGAGATGTCTATTAATTAAGGTGGCTTCCGAACTAACAAGTTGGACTTTATAGATTAACCGTACCATTAAGAATTCACATAACAATCTTTAATTCATACCTACCACCTTATTGAAGTAGTGTATAAAAATGTTCACCCTAACATTCCCTTATTCAAACCAAATCCAACTAATTCGTTCACTATACAATCATTTGAAGTAATTCCTTTATTTTCATATAAACAAGATCTTATCTATGCATGTTACAACAATGTGTGAAGATGGTATTTGAAACTTTGAAAATGAAGATTTTTCTTGTTATTCTCGTCTTAAACTATTTCTACAAGTCGTGGTTGATCATCTTGACTTCTATCATGGTGGACCACAATTAGACAAGATGCCAAATTATATATTTGAAGCGGCGTTGGATGATGTGAAAGACTAATAAGTTAACTAAAAATGACTTGGATACTTGATGAATGTTTATACATTCCCTTAGTAGACTTAATATATAAACTCAAATTGGTAGTAGGTACTAAGAAAAAAAAATTAAGGTGGCACAAAAGTAGATGGTGGTGTTGATTAGGAGATTGGCATGATTATGGAAAAACATGATCATCTTGACCTTGCTATTAGAATTAGACATGGTTTTCTTCATATGTGGTCGGATTGTATTTACAATATTTTTTTACATTTACTAGGATATTTAACTGATTATCCTTCAATCCTTAGATATGTTAGACTAAAATAAGTACATACTAGACTACCCATATATTTCAATTAACAATGCATTCCAGGCAAGTCTTACATAAATTACATGTTATGATAACCAATTGCCACAACACCCTAGGAAATATAATGGCGTTGTTATTGGTTTAGTTATTAAAGCTTTAGGATGCCATATATTTATTATTTGAAAGGACATTGTTAGTCGTTTAGTCATGAAGGTTTTAGCATGCCATATGTTTATTGTCTAGTGTTTTAGTTTTGAATTTTTTTAAAATTTCATACATTTATTGATCGATGGTTGAATTACTTTTGTTTTGAGTTTTATGTGTTATGTTATGAATCCATTCATGGTGAAGGAAATGTTCGAACATGTCCCTATAATGGGATAATTGAGGAACTATTGTGATGGTACCTCCTGTCGTGAAGTAGTTTTTGAGGGGTATATACTCCCTATTAGCTACAATGAGATTAAAACTCCCATGGCTAGTAAGAAGTTGGTTTTGAAGTTGTGAGGGCTATGAACTTCCCATATATGATTTGAGTTGATTGTGAACCGACAAGGGGTATGAACTCCATGTGTGTGATATGAGTTTGTATTTAACCGGCGAGGGGTAGAGACTGCCATATGTATGTGTAATCTGTAAAGTTTAGGATATCGAATGCTTGTACGATTTGTTAACGTGCTCATGAGGCTTCAAAAGTAAGTTCTAGTTCTATAAAGTTCGTAAGTTTATAGTATGGAATGTTTATGAAAGGTTAAAGTTATTATGAAAAATTTTCCTAGTATATTTCCAATTTATTTTTCTAAGTTTAAACCCATGTATGACACGGATATTTCGACTTACATATTTAGTTTGTAAGTGTGGTATGTACTCAGGTTTGGAAGGTAAGGACTAGACATAGATGGAGCTTGCTTAGGGTAAGGGGGGGCTGTGGCCCCCCTGAGTTTTTTGTCATAAATAGTCCTTACTATTTAGATTTTATACATATTTAGCCTAAAAATATAAAATTTATGTTGTGTCCCCCCTGCTCTTCGATTTTCACCTGCCGCATCCTCCACAGGTGTTGAATTCTCCTCTGGCGATCGGACACAACCTCCAACATCCAGCTACATGTTATCAATGTAAGAGTCTTTAACAAATTCAGTATCAGTGTGACCAATCTCCCCTTCCCCCAGGTCTTCATTGGTATTCTCAGATGGAAATGTATCCGGCATGTATCCATCCACACCCTCTCCGTCATTGTCATTATCTCCATCCTTCGATGAAGAGCTCACTTCCGTAGAGTAGTATCTTTGTTTGAATGGAGCCCAATCTAGATCTACTTCTACGTTTTGTAGTTTGATGATTCTAACATTGACTTCCACCACATGTTCACTGGATATTGTGGATATCAAGGATGTTAGGATACCAACCTTTCCATATGATAGATTAATAGTTGATTGATTAACCACACAAGGGACCACAACCCGACCAACAAATTCCACAATCATCGAGAAGTTTTCTTTTGAATATAGTTCTGGTGGGAGACCAGGGGTTTTTATCCATGCGATTCTCTCAGAATATGTAATTGCAACATCACCACTACCTACTTTAGTAAACCACTCATTCTAGGTGTTCATAAAAACTTTCCTATTGTCTTCGTTCACAAATTTCACACCGATGTATAGCTCACCAAGGTATTTTATTTCATAATCAGATCCGTTACAATTCTTTAAAGAATAAGGGGCATTTTCATGACGATCGAAACTGTGACGTTTTCCAATCATCCTAAGCTTTCCTTTCAGCCATGAACGCAGAGGGGAGTCATCAAGAATCATAATAGGATTAACTTTCCATTGAGGAGGGGAGGTGGACCGGGGGGTGGGTGGGGGGCTCTATTTTTTTCTTTCATGACCACAACAAAGGATCTGTTGTCTCTATTGTTGAATCTTGGAGCATGAGGAAATCTATTATGATTCATGATGAAGCCGTTATGTCTTACATCTTGAATAACATCAGGTTTTCTTTGGAACCTTACAATATTGACTTCTAGGATTCTTCCACCAAGTTTGATTCCATGTAGGTTCTTCTCTAATATATGTTTGTCTCTAGTCTTCTTGAATCTAACGAAAGCAAAGTGTTTTTTTATTGACATCTCTCTTTGTTGCCATGTAAACATTGACCACCTCTCCCTGTTTAGCAAAGATGTTAATTAGATTTTCTTTCCTTACCGCCTTCGGAAGGTTTGTGACAAACATAGACATAAGCCCTGCATGATTCCATCGTGGTCGATCTCTGATCTTCGTGATCTGATTCCATCTTCGCCGTCTCGCATCCGTCCCTTCACCTTCCATGGCAAAGTGTTGAACTGTTATGTTTTCTTATAAACATGTAGCAACATATACAAACTCAAGGAAACCAAATAATCCACATGTAACAACATATATAAATGATTCAAAAACACTCGAGAAATGTTTACATAAAAAATAAATAAATAATTTCAATTTATTTAAAATAAATACATTAACAACCAAATTTAAATTACTTTAAATTTATATTACAAATATAACAATTTAATATATATGGATATTGAAAAAATAAAGTAATTATCCTGCATAACCTACGATTTATAGATTTTGGGAAATGATCATGGAGTTTGGAACATTGCATTCTGGACTATGTAGTTCACATTTTAGATTGCCATTTAATGTTTTGGCTAGATATAAACTGGTCTGGAATATGAGATGTCTATTAATTAAGGTGCCTTCCGAACTAACAAGTTGGACTTTATAGATTAACCGTACCATTAAGAATTCACATAACAATCTTTAATTCATACCTACCACCTTATTAAAGTAGTGTATAAAAATGTTCACCCTAACATTCCCTTATTCAAACCAAATCCAACTAATTCGTTCACTATACAATCATTTGAAGTAATTCCTTTATTTTCATATAAACAAGATCTTATCTATGCATGTTACAACAATGTGTGAAGATGGTATTTGTAACTGTGAAAATGAAGATTTTTCTTGTTATTCTCGTCTTAAACTATTTCTACAAGTCGTGGTAGATCATCTTGACTTCTATCATGGTGGACCACAATTAGACAAGATGCCAAATTATATATTTGAAGCGGTGTTGGATGATGTAAAATATTAATAAGTTAACTAAAAATGACTTGGATACCTGATGAATGTTTATACATTCCCTTAGTAGACTTAATATATAAACTCAAATTGGTAGTAGGTACTAAGAAAAAACAATTAAATTGGCACAAAAGTAGATGGTGGTGTTGATTAGGAGATTGGCATGATTATGGAAAAACATGATTATCTTGACCTTGCTATTAGAATTAGATATGGTTTTCTTCACATGTGGTCGGATTTTATTTACAATATTTTTTTACATTTACTAGGATATTTAACTGATTATCCTTTAATCCTTAGATATGTTGGACTAAAATAAGTACATACTAGACTACCCATATATTTCAATTAACAATGCATTCCAGGAAAGTTTTATATAAATTACATGTTATGATAACCAATTGCCACAACACCCTAGGAAATATAATGGTGTTGTTATTGGTTTAGTTATTAAAGCTTTAGGATGCCATATATTTATTATTTCAAAGGACATTGTTAGTCGCTTAGTAATGAAGGTTTTAGCATGCCATATGTTTGTTGTCTAGTGTTTTAGTTTTGAATTTTTTTTAAAATTTCATACATTTATTGATCGATGGTTGAATTACTTATGTTTTGAGTTTTATGTGTTATGTTATGTATCCATTCATGGTGAAGGAAATGTTCGAACATGTCCCTATAATGGGATAATTGAGGAACTGTTGTGATGGTACCTCCTGTCGTGAAGTAGTTTTCGAGGGGTATATACTCCCTATTAGCTACAATGAGATTAAAACTCCCATGGCTAGTAAGAAGTTGGTTTTGAAGTTGTGAGGGCTATGAACTCCCCGTATATGATTTGAGTTGATTGTGAACCGACAAGGGGTATGAACTCCATGTGTGTGATATGAGTTTGTATTTAACCAGCGAGGGGTAGAGACTCCCATATGTATGTGTAATCTGTAAAGTTTAGGATATCGAATGCTTGTACAATTTGTGAACGTGTTCATGAGGCTTCAAATGTAAGTTCTAGTTCTATAAAGTTCGTAAGTTTATAGTATGGAATGTTTATGAAAGGTTAAAGTTATTATGAAATAGTTTCCTAGTATATTTCCAATTTATTTTTCTAAGTCTAAACCCATGTATGACACGAATATTTCGACTTACATATTTAGTTTGTAAGTGTGGTATGTACTCACGTTTGGAAGGTAAGGACTAGACATAGACAAAGCTTGCTTAGGGTAGGGGGGGGGGGGGCTGTGGCCCCCCTGATTATTTATTTATTTTATCATAAATCGTCCTTACTATTTAGATTTTATACATATTTAGCCTAAAAATATAAAATTTATGTTGTGGCCCCCTTGCTCTTCGATTTTCATATATAGCGATCTATACATCTTAATCAAAGTCTTTTATATGTTTAATATTAGCGATCTATACATCTTAATCAAAGTCTTTTATATGTTTAATATAGTTATATTCCTTTATATTTCCCTTGATTTCACCTAAAATGAGCTAAGGACACACACACACACACACACTGTTCGCATCTATAGCTCATATTTATTATTTGAAATGTTTAGAAGTGTAGATAGGGTCTATTCAGGCTTAAATCATGGACTTAACATCTTAGTTTTGTAACATCCCAAAATTCAAGGCTAAAATTTTCATTTTTAATTAGGTTATTACATAAAACCAAAGTGTGAATAATCAAAATGTAATATTATGAAACCATATCAGAGTATAATCCCAAGGATCTCGTGTGTGGAAAAGATAGTGTGATGCGCTGCGACCAAGCCGACTCCTTTCCTTTGAAACAAAGTACCTGAAACCAAAATGGTAAACCCTAAGCACGAAGCTTAGTGTGTTTCCCCCATCTTACCACATACCACATAACACCATCGGTATCTCTCAAGCGGTAACTGCCATCGGTATCTTTCAACTGGTAACCAGGGACTATTTCAACCTTACAACTATCACATAATAACATGTCATAAACATACAGATCATGTACTAACATCATAAACATGCTGATCACATACTAACTATCGTAAACATCCTGATCACATACTAACATATTAAAAACATACAAATAAGCATTGCATGGGTTCTATATACCCCTTCAGTATCTTTCAACCGGTAACTGCCATCGGTATCTTTCAACCGGTATCCGCTATCGGTATCCACCATCGGTATCTGTCATCGGTATCTTTCAACCGGTAAATGGGGAATATTTCACCCCTACCACTATCATATAATAACACGATATAATCATACAGTCAGACATTTCTGGGGTACTGACCTACCCTTCGATCCTAACGACTGAGTAAGGAATGAACTATTCCCTGCTACTACCACTGACACACATGGCATATCACATAAGCATATCACATAAGCATATCTCATAAGCATACCAAGATCATTATCACAAAGACAATTATCTACCAACTACCCCTGTTGGTGGGCCGATATTGTGCCCTTAGACCCACCCCTATTGGAAGGTAACTCACCTCACACTGCTGAAGTCTCGTAGACACAATCCCAAACTGCTGTAGTCCTGCAGACTCAATCCTAGCTGCTGGATGATAGGTTCTCGAACTATCAATTCCAAAACAACACCCAATTAATAATCGGGTCCTAACACATAACCATAATACATACTTGGATAATTGCTACATTACCCCAAGCATGGCTTATTCAAGCCCAAGGCCCAAACCATAGGCCCAAAGTCAACTAAGAATCAAAGCCCAACACATAGCCTAATTTTCCAAATTGGGCCCAAACCTTTATAAGGTCTTACCATCAGGCCCAACCAAAAGTCCAATCCAACATTTGACCTTCTAATGGTCCAATGTCATGTAATCATTAAGGCCCAAATGACGGCCCATTTATGGCCCAATTTTCCAAATTGGGCCAAACTCCTCATATAAGCCTTACATCAAGGCCCATTAATTATTCTAGTCCATTTGCTTGATCTTGGGTGGCCCATTTAACAACCTAATCATCAGGCCCAATAATAAACCCAAGTGAAATTAGGGTTTCATATAAAATGACGATTAGGGTTAAGTTTCCTACTTAACCCATTAAGGACTTAATCCTTTAAGGACTTAATCCAGTAAGTCCACTGTCGCTTAGATTAATCTTGCCACTGATTATTATTTAATATCCCCAGTTATTAAATAATTCTCGTGTGTCCCGATTAATTTCCTAAATTAGGGTTTTGATTGCATTAGGGTTTTCCAAACCCTAATTAGGGTTTCCAACCCAAATACTAGCCCATTTATTAATTTGTTGGACTTTTAGGTTATTTAGGGCTTTATTGGGCCCTATCAAGCCCACTAGAATGTCATCAAGCCCGTTAGGGTCTTATTGGGTCAATTAGAGTCCATTAGACTCATTAGGGTTTTCACTAAGACCATTTGGCTTCATTGGGCCCATTAGGCTAACAAGGCCCATTAGGGTTTCAAGCATCCCCAATCAAGTCAACTCACACGACAAGCACACCGCCACCCGACACAGCGGCCGGTGGCAACAACCACCACCTTAAGGTAGTGGTTTTACTTTCTTTCCATTATTTAATTTGTAATTTACACTTTACAATACTGAAACTCAAAATAAACACATACACTAAACAACATAAGCATACACACACACACAGCCACCCTATGGTGTCCGGTGGTCGAATATATAAATCACACCCAAAACACACACAC